CAACATCTGGAAAAGAAGAAAAGTCCGTACAATTATTTAGGGTATGATTAACAGTATTATAGACATTGATAACTTAACTTACTGTTTACCAAATAAATATTATACAAGATATGATAATGGTTCAAGTGGTAACACAAAGATACAAATATATTATTGTTGGCATTAACAACGTAATTTTTTTGTTGTGGCATTTTTGTAAATATACTCACATGATTAATCTGTTAATAGTTAATTATTTTATGAACTCGTTTCATCATACGCGGTAAGCGGCGTGTCAATCATTTTGTGAAGAATGTATAGTCTCACCTATCTCATAGATCTGCCACAACACGAGGAAAAACGATAACTGGGTGGTGCAGTAACTGAATTTTAGTGACTGATAACTCTAAAACGATATCAAATTGGTATTTTTTCCCCTCAGACTTCGTTTTTTACTATTATATCAATGTTTTATTATTGCCAACAGGACGACTCGCATAACCTACCGTGGTTACTCATCTGTAATCTATACGAGCCATTCGCTGTACAAATGTCTCATTAAAAAATATTTGTATACTTTATTTAGTGAAAAAAAAACCAGACATTATAATCCTGATAGAGATTGTACGATCGCTTAAAGTCCAAAAGCGCCACGTGATATACGGTTGGACTTAGGAATACCGTCTCGTGATCAAAACAATAATAAATAAAAAAAAATTAAAATTATTATAATATATTATATTGGCGATATCAACTGTGATAACAATAATAATAATAATAATAATAATCATCATAATTAATAAGACTAAACTACGATTACAAAGTCTCCGATTCGTGGGGGATATAATTAATTGTAGTTATTTCTAAAGTTCGTTATAATCATGACTTTGAAACCGAATATAATTATTTTGTATCATTCAATAATGGAATATAACACTAATGTTTCCATGGATGAGCTAATAGTTGCGGACGAATAATTATGGAGACTCTTATCAGTGTAGGTCATTATTACCGTATTCGCATAATATGTTGAACAAAGTGCCTACAAGTATACCAGTACCACACCGAGGACGTAGTAAGCTTAAAAGGGGTCAGAATGAAAAAAATTGTATTTCTACTTAATTTGGGTTCAAATCATATGTATAAAACAGTATAGTTAAGGACATGTCCAAGAAACTAAAGAATTTTCACATCATATACAAAAATAAAGTGATGAAAGTGGGTAAGTGGATGTCACTCTGCTGTACATTAGGTGTCTAGAAGGTCGTTGTAATGGATGGTATTAAATTTGAATTCAATGATATACTATCATTGTATACAAAAAACGATTCTCAGCGGAGACGGTATGTCAGTCTAGGATATTTTATATTGTTATCACTTATTATTAATACGGTAGCCGGTAAGTGGAATTAATATTATTCATAATATTATTCTTCAATTATCAGTGATGCTGGAAAAATATTTTATTAACTTATGTAAAACTGGACTGTTTTGGAATTGAATTACAACAAAATGACTAAAATCGTTATTCTTTGTGTTAATATGTACCTAATTTGGTCCAAATTTGAACTTAAAAAACTATAAGAAACCTGTGTTTATGTTTATTTTTAGATTTTTTGGTTACAGAATTAGCTACTTAAACAGAATCTTGTTTTAAATGTTCAATCCTTAGCTATAAAAGTTGAACATTGAGTTCATTTTTAACTACAAAACCATTTTTTAATTTTCAGTGACTAATTTCCAAAACTGGTTTTACTTAAAATTCCCGGTTTTCCTTAATTTCTTGATTTTTTTTTCAGTCACATTTTCAAAACTATTGGGAATTTTACATTTTTATTTCCCGAATACCGGAATACAACAACTAAATTCTTTTTCCTACCTGAAAAGCTGCTGTTGATGAAAATCGAAGCACTTATTTTAATGCCCCAAACCATGATGACGGGAAAAAAAATAACTAAAAAACACACATCATTGTGAAATAAATACATTCATCGCTCTGCTCAGATCTCAGAATCTAAAAAGATAGGCATACAATAAACGTTAAAATAAGAAGCTATATCCTTGCTTTTGTAGTCTCCATCTTACAAAAGTACTTGTACGAAATAGCAAATGTTCGTTCAATAGTTTCAATGGTGTGCTGTAAGTTTTGATATTAGAGTGAATTGACTAATTATCAAACTTTTAGGTACTATAAAATTACATGTGCTTAAACGTCAGCGATTTGTGATATTTTCATTTTCATGTGAGCTATGTGTATGTGAAATATCACAAATTAAAAATGTTTATATCTCGCATTAAACTTAAAATATCGAATGAAAGCCTACGCTGAAGCACAGAGAATGTTCTAACTATAGATCAAATAAGTTGAAATAACTATTATATCAAAACTAACAGCAAACTATTGAAACTAGTGAACCAAAATTTGGTATGTCGTAAGTGTGTAGGACGGAGTCAACGAATGCAAGGGTAGAGTACTATTTTTACCTAACTACGTTCAAATATGATTTTGCTATTTTACTTAACTTTTACTTCCCCCCTCGTCCCATTTTCCCAGCCAAGAAAACACAATATCCATCGTGATAGAAAACCACAAATTGACATTGAGCAATAATAAACACATTTTATTGCGTATTAAACATATTTATTGAAGATTATTTTTTCCAGTGAGAAAAATACGACACAAATTTAGTCAATCTTTTACAATTTTATATTTTTATTATTTGATCAAGAAGTAGATTATTTTATATTTAAAAAATTAGTTTTTTTGACCATGTACGTCATTGTCATTTCGATAACTGAAAATGAAATCATTATCCTTTATAATGATAAGTAGAATATAAAAACTGTTTCCAATTACTAGAACTTCTCGTTGGTAGAAAGTACTTGGCATTGATTGCGAATACTTGTAGGTACCTATACCATTGATTACGAGTACTTGCCATTTATTGCAAGTACCTGCATATATACCTACCATTTGCTATTGATTGTAAGTAGTAAGTACCCATATCACGGAACTCGACAAACAACAAATAGAATTTCTTTTGACAAAACGCTTATTCCAATTATTTACAGCCTGACCATGTATGAACATGATAACGCACAATAATATAAATATAATATAGTACAAAGACGTATATATATTGTAATTAAAGAATGGTATCCAGACGTTTACGAATAAATATTTATTCTTCTGTTTTGGTGTACACAACGAATTCTATTGTCCGCCTTATCATAATATAAAATCGTCATCCTGTTAAATAAATACATTTCTGAATGTGTATTAAAGCAGCGTGCGTATTGCACCGCCCCAGTCGTCAATACTAAGTACGACGGATCTGACGACAAACGATATACGTATACGCAGTCTGATTTAAGTGAAATCCTATAAAGGAGGAAAAACATTTTTACCTCAAAAACTTTTTTTTACTTAATTATTGTTACCGTTATATTATATAAATATGCTAAATTCAACATTTTACTAGTAAAATCTATTGAGTTACATATATTTTGTATATATTGGCACACGAATAAAAGTAATGATGTATAGGCGTTTGATATAATTTTGGTTTAAATATATTCATTTTCTTCATATTATTGTGTTTAGCTTTCATTTATAAAGCCATAAAATTAATAATTTATTAAACCGCTATCAACTGATGATTATTAAAGTATTCGAATCATAATCAATTATCGATTGATTGACGTTTTTGATGTTACCACTGGAACCGACTACTAGCAAAATAATTTTTAAAATAATCAAAGGAAACTAAATTGTGGAGACTTATAGGTATAGTAGAACATGAACTATATTATTAAATTTATATATTCTATATTATTATTTCTGATTTTTTTTTAAATATACAATACGTGATACTAGTATTCAGTATTCAGATTTTAGATTAATTTTGTTACTATACTTAAAATGTTAAAATACCTACGTATACTCTGTTTAGCTAGAGTGAAAATCAGTTCTTCTGCGCATCCCCACGCGACACCCTATCATGGGAAAACCTTAAATTCATACATGAGATCTATTACAACAACCATTCGTAAAGGGGTAATAGTTTTAAGCTAACTACTACAGCAGTAGAATACTTCAAAATTATTTACATCATAGTAAACTTCATATCCCGACCACGATTAAATCATTAAATGGCCGATTTTTTATTAGACTTAGCACTTTTTTTAATTACTGTACCTATATACTTATAGGTACTGTACAAAACGTCACAAAGTTTTTGTTCATATACTTAAAAGGACAAACACTTTCTATCTAAATTGGGTTTTACACAACACAGACGTGAAAAATTAAAAGGAGTTACTTAAGAGACAGGCACGTATAAAAATATATTATAATACATAAGTAGTTGTATGATATATCGATATTCGATAAATATGTTTGTAATATACTATTATAATTATTTTACAATCTCACACCAAAGCTTAGAATATGTTTAGACGGTTTTCAATGGTCAGTGGACTGTGGACAACACACTAACGTGAGAGCACGTTCGTTTATTATTATGTTAGATACAGGGTGATTCTTTTAATGTTAAATGTAAACATCGATTTTCTAGAGAGCATATTGGGAAATATTTTTAAAATATTTTTTACATAATTTTTAACCTAAGAGTTTTGAAAGAATAAATCATATTTTACCTTTGTAATAACATTTAAAAAACGATAATACCATTTCCGGAAGTTGAGTGTTTACGTTTGAAAGGATCACCGTGCACATGACGTACACTTGAGTGTTTTGTGTGTACGTGTGTGCGCGTTTGCGTGTTTGTGTGTGTGTGTGTGTGTGTGTGTGTGTGTGTGTGTGTGTGTGTGTGTGTGTGTGTGTGTGTNGTGTGTGTGTGTGTGTGTGTGTGTGTGTGTGTGTGTGTGTGTGTGTGTGTGTGTGCGCGCGCGCGCGCGCACGCTCTATCACAGTTTTCTTGTGCGTGGTTTATTATTATTATTTTTTTTCTTTTTGTTGATCCACAACCTATTAATTATAAACACTAGTGAATTACACAAAAAGATAAGGAAAGTGGTAGCGGTAACAATTATTACCTTCTGTGTAACGGCAACTCGTTCAAACCAAGATTAGGGACCGGGGATAAATAACAGCCACGGAACATCGGACTGGGACGTCAGTCATCTTTCAGAAACGAAACACGCTGTGCAGCATCACACGGCAACCCATCCACAGTTCTGCAACAGCTGGACACACATTGTCGTCGAGATAGTGGTCTTCACCCGCACCCTTGTAGCAACGCTCTCTCGACAACAGTCCGTTTTCGACTGCGTACACCCCATTATTGATATTATAAATCGCCGTTTGTCGTCGATATAATAATATCATATTATATTATTTCAAAGGAACGAAAACCGCGGAATTAGAAGAAAATGGCCGAAGACTCCTTCATCGTATCACCCACTAGAAAACACACTGGCACCGTGAGTGACATAATATTATGTATAATAATAATAACAATAATTATGCGACGGTTTTCAATATAATATAACTGTCGTCATAATCAAGAGGGATTTTAATAGAATTATGGTTTTCAATTCAATTTTATGATTTCAGATCATATTCTTGCACGGACTCGGCGAAAATGGGTACGTAAAAACACTACTGAATATGCATATAACAATATCATATAAAACAATAACAAATAATTTAAGCACTTTTAAGGGCACTTAAAGAGCATCTGCCCACACGTAACCCTGTTCCATGTAGGTACCAGTCTATAATTATTATTGATATGCGCGACGAGTTTTCGTCCGTCGAAACTCGTTGGTAACGCATTCAAACAATTTTTTTTTCTCTACGGACCTATTATAGGTACATAATGATATATAATATTATAATATACACCTATTTATTATGTTTTTTTTTTAACTTTTTAAACTTGTTTGTTTAGTTACCGTAAAATTTTCATTAATATCTTCTAAAGAAGTGTATACATTAATATAATATGTTGCAAACCGGTAAATGTGCGTATAAAACGCTCACCGGAGTTCGTTTGTGGTTAAATAAATCGCAGTAATTATAATATGTATTATATACTTTTATTTTACTCATACACATGAGGTCCAACTCCATACATATTTATATATTGTGATTGCAAGAGAGAAGATTAATCCTCGTGTGAAAATTATTTTAAAAATATACACTTCATTTTTTTATTTATTTTAATTGGGTCCAAGATGAATTCTTTTACTCCTGTTGCTTTTTCCTACGTTCATACAATAATAATAACTTATTCAGATACCAAAAAAATTAAAAAATTAATGAGTTTTAAAAAAAAGTTATATTTAATTTATAGTATGGAACATTATTAAATTCAATCCTAACTTTAAAACGTTATCATGAAAAACAATTGTTTTAATCTCGTAGCCTACATATTTAAACTATTGCAATAATGTGGTTTAATAATTTTTAAATTTAATTTTGCAAAATGTGAGCGGTACTTACTTAAAACAATTTTAGAACAAGTTATGACAATATTATTACATAATATTATGCGCCTATTCGGTTTCGCTGCAATGTTCACTTAATATCATCATTAACGGACAAACTAATAAACAGACGATACAAATAAACACAATATGTAAGGTAGATTCTATTCTTATTACAAATACTTACGGTTCTCTTGTTAATTTAATGGTACCCACAAAAAAATAGTAAGGTACTTTTATTTAGTTTACAAAAAAAGTGTCAATGGACCTCAATTGCAAGTGTTTATAAATTAATTCCATAATTAAGACTCTTATAGTTCCCATGTGCAGTACCTACAGTTTGTAATGATATTTTTTGTTTCTCGAGCTATTTAAAAAAAAATTAAAAAATTAAAAAATTATGAATTTGCATGCTACATAATATTATATTAATATGCATTCTAAATATATTTCACTCAAATAAATCGAACAATGATATTACATTGAAACTGTCATATCACGAAGTATGATGGGCAAGAATAAACAATTGTATTAAAAAAAATAAAATTGTATTCTTGATTATATTTTAACTTAAATTAATTAGTTATCTATAATTTGGGTTAGTTCTCAAAAATACTTTGTTTAGAAATATTGTTATTTTATGGAAGTTTCACTGTATATAATATTAATAAGAGAATGTCAGCATAAATGCGAAATATTTGTTTTCTCTCTCAGACCCACGCGAACCATAGATAAAACGCTTTCACCTAAAATCATTTTTTATGATTTTCGAGTAATCTTAAAGTAAAATCTTTTATTAGAAAAATTAAAAAAGATAATATTTTTGATTGCATGGCCCATCAGTTGTATATGTTATTATTATTTGACTTTGTATATGACTTTCAAAATTAAAAAAATAAAACTTAAATTTAAATGATACCTATTTAAATTGTTTTGAGGCAACATTTAGAGAAATCGATTGAATTAATTCTTAAAAGTATTATTCTATATCTTTTTTTAAAGGGTGATTTTACTCTTTGATTACTTTAAAAACATAAAAAATAGATTTTAGTCGTTTTTGCGGGTGGGTGTGAGTGAGAATACAAACATCCTCTTAATTTAACAAACTTAATATTATGATAAATGTATAACATTAAAGGAGGCGTGGCATGCGTGTAATAATCGATACATCGCAACTGGATCGAAAATTGGTAATCAATTATTAAGTATAGTACCGTTTTTTCTTTCGAACTTTGCAGTTTCCCCCAAGGCCACTTATTCCGGTCGTCTGATATTAAACGAAATAGTAAATGCAGTAACAATAATTAACAATAAACAGCGTCTATCGTTTTAGCTCCAGGAATTACAACACATCATGTAATAATATTTTTGTCGGATGACGACGAATTATTATTATTTTTTCCCGACTGGTTGTAAACAGTTTTACGCCTATCGTAATCGTCGTCGAACTCTTCTCGTAAATTTCCACGCACTCCATTTCATGTATAGAAGACGTCCATTGTGACAATATACTGTCGGATCATCGGTTTTTTTTTACAGCACAAGCCTAAGAGCTGCTTATATCTATATATAGATTAGGTACTTCTCTTGGGTACCTCTCATTTTAGTTTATCACTTATTATTACTTACACGTTTTTTTCTAATCGTTCGACTGGTGATTAATCTGATGAGCGATAATCACCCGATTATATAATCAGTTGTACGACTTCTGGACTTTGGTGCTGTATCGCGTGGGAAGTGAAGTGTGGTGTGTGCTATAAACACCAACAAAATATATTTAAAACATTATGCACTAAAAACCGAGTTAGACTGTGTCAGAAAAAATAACAAAATATGTATTATGTATGCGATTATTGATTTATCGATGATGTGTAATATTATAATATTATGATTCGAATAAGACGGGACTGATAATAATAAGATGGATTTTATTGTTTTTTTAACGTCGAGTGTATTTTATCGCATAAACCGGAGAACGTAGGGCCTAGGGTTGTGTGGATGAAACCGCTTTGTAAATTCGAGGAAACAGCTCTCTTACTGAAGTATAACGTATATTTGCGTAAAATTGCGCTTAAGGAAAACGATTAATCATTGCGTTTAAAAACAATAACATTGTTGTGGCTTGGTGAAGTGTGGTCATACGTTTAATCTAAGCGTACGTACCGGCCGTCGTTGCTATAGCATTCAGATGGGTGACCGCCCGGGTTTTTAGCAACAAATCCTTGCCACATGTACAAAACGTGTTCCAACCAACCGTTCCCCCTCCTCCACACAGTACCAGGCTAATGACCTTAGTAGTTGAAGCCAATCCAAATAAAAAAAAATTGAATTATTAAAAATATAAAAATGCATTACGCGTAGGTACTCATACGGTTTTTCTATGCGGTGGTTGGATAAGAATTATAATAGGTTTAAAAGTTCACCGGGTTCAAAAGAACTTGATTTGTTTCCTGCACGAGCGCGTGTGCTTGCAGTGTACAATACTCAACAATATAGATATAAAATGTTACGTCCTTATCAATGATATAATTCTATAGCTATAGGCTATCATACTTTTCTATAATTATTATAGAATGCAGATAAAAATAGAACACTATATTTTCAGAGAACGCTTGTACGTTTTTTACTTTTGCACATTATACTAAAAAATTTTGATTTGCTTTCCCCAGCTTGGATGGTATTTTCTTTTTTAAATTCGTAAATAAAATCAATTAAATTAAATGTTTTTACGAATCGTAAAGGAAATTATAGGAGGGAAATAACTAAAGAGTGAAGACATAAAACTTAACCGCATGTTTGTTTTTCATAAAATGTTGAACAGCATATACATTGATGTACATTACAACTATTGCTTCAAGAGTCATTTTATTTAATTTGGCTCAAAGTCATTAATTCGCTAATTAATGATTGTTCTTGCCACAATTTGAATCTGAAATATGCTTATTGTATAATAATAATTAATATTTTTCTCATTATTTGTTTTATATTTTCTTTATTTTAGAATACTTAGGTGCATTATATTATATAGTTCTCTTAAAAATGCTATAAAAATAAGTGTCTTCCATTTATTATGTATTTTTTCGTTTTACAATCACAGCTCACGTTGCTCAAAGTTAAAAAAAACCACTAACAATGATAAACGTCGATTTGCAGAGCTGCAAAAATGTACCGAAACATTCGCACATTTTTATAACAAGTGCAAATTACACTATAATATTATAAAAATTCGCCCAGGTACAACCGGCCATATGTTTTCTCTATAATATAATGATAAGAATTCAATTAAAAACTGTTGGCGAGTTGTGCTGTACTGTTCGCTTGTTATCGGCCTCCAATATAATTAATAACTCGCATATTAAAAATACGATCGATCTCCGATTGTGAATACAGTTGTGCACCACACGGTGCAAGTTTTTACTATAATATCGTTACAGTATTGAGTTGTTTACACTCATATCTGCGAGGACGTACGATTGACGGAGATGGAAGTCGTTTCATAGTTTTCGTGTGTGTGCAGTGATTGGATGCAAACAAAACTATTAAGTGTCTGATTATTACAATATATTAACTTTTTTTGTATTACAGTACAGTGTCGTATTTACGGAGGGGGAGGGCAGGAAAAAGGGGGATTTGAGCACCCTCCTTACCCGGAACGCTTTTTATTCTTTTGCTTTATGCATAATTATTTTTGATTGTATAATAGGTAAGTTTTTAACAATATATTCGTTTGTACATTCAGCGTGATTTAAAATATACCTATTTAACTATTATCAACTTATCAATTTATTAACATCATTAAGACGTTATCAATAATTATTTTAAAGTATGATATTTAATACTTGGCCTCCTCTCCCATACCAAAAAATTGTTCACAGCCACGCCACTGTTACAATACCACATCATAATAATTAGTGATGATATAATAATAACATATGTAATACATATTATAAGTAATAACTCGCACGACTTTGAGTAGCTTTCCTATTACCCACTATACAAAAATATTAAAAGCATGCACAAAAATATATTTTATTTTATTATTAAATCTAAAATAATACTCTAATAACTATAAAATATAAATATATTGACATTTTGTTATTATTTTTATTGTTATAATCACGATAGTCGCCAGGTTGAATTGGTGTAGGTGTACTAGATGTATGTATGATCTTGTGTCTCTAATAAAAATAAATAAGACAATACCTACATAATTTCTAATATTTTACCAATATGCACAACAATAATGTATTGGTGTATTATATATTTTGTAATATAATTATAATTTGTGTAATAACTGTGTTTTGTTAACAGAGAAAACTGGAAGCTGGTGCTCTCCAAAATGGTCAAGCCCAATATCAAAGTGATCTGCCTTAACGCGTGAGTATGTCATCCCTGTACCCGTTATGGTAGAAAACCTTTGGAATAAATTTAAGTAAAAATTGTTGGAAGCCAAAATAGTTTTAAAATAATCGTTGGTATTGCAGAATTTAGTTTAATATGCATATTTTATTCCAAGCTACTTTAACTGCAAATTCAAATTTTAAAACGGAACGGAAGACTCAGTTTTCATTATGTTTTGTTGAATCAAACTCTTGTCATTTGATTAACTTTGCTAACTAAAAAGTGTAAGTAAATATTATAAAATTAAACACAATGATAATATGACTGCAAGTTGACATATCCACACAATATTATATAATCGATCAATCGATGTTCAAACAGATGATTGCTGCCACTTTATATTTAATATACCTATCGCAGCCACTGTCTCGAGTCACTCAACCTTTTTTAAAAATATTTGTTTTTAAATCCGATACGCACGAGTAATGAACATCAAAACATACTTCCGATGAAATCGAACGGTCAACGTTTTTTAATGACATTTTAAATGTTTAAAAAATGCATTGACATTATTTAGGTCTAACTTCGGCGGGTCAATGAGTAGTAATGTTCATGTGCCATTTTCCTAGCCTAACTAAAGAAATCTCACTAAAATATGTACTTATATCTCTTTCTGATCCACAGGCCGAAAATTCCACTTACACTAAACAAGGGTTTCCCTACGGCTGCGTGGTTTGACCTGGCGTCGCTAGACGAGAACAAGATGGAAGACGAGTCAAGCATCTTGCGAGCCGTAGACAAGCTGCACGACATCATCGACGAGGAGATCGCTTCGTCCAAAGTGTCAGCCACCAAGACCATGTTGGCAGGTTTCTCTCAAGGTGGCGCCCTTGCAATGTATGCCGCACTCACCTACCACAAACGGCTAGCCGCCGTCTGTGTCATGTCCAGCTGGCCGGTGATCCGGCATACCATGCCCGATGTAAGTACTTTTACGATTTGAGTTCTAAAGAAGGGACGATGACTTAATTAATTGGAAGTAAAATGCACTTCGTTTATACATTCGAAATGATCAAAATTTAAAAAGAAATTCCCTATATATATAATATATATGTATACAATGTTCAGAGACGGAAAATCGGTTCTTCTTGACACCTGTCATAAGAGAACCGGTTTTGATGGCGGGGTGATGCTAGGGGATACTCTGAATCGTGATATTCTCTGGCTGGGCAGATTATACATTGCTCCAACGTATATATTTTGTTTGGTGTCAAATTGAGGTTCTAACCTAACCTATTCGTCACCGCATTCATTTCTGTCTCGGTCACAGTAGTTTTCGTATTCTTTTCCAATAGCCACATCGAGCACACGAGTACTTCGTTCTCGTTTTTGGCCGATAAAAAATGTACGAAACCGTTATTAAACTTGATAGATTGCGGGGTAACCGATTTAAATCTATCAACCTCCTCCCAAAACTATAATAGCATCTGCTATATCGGTTACTTGACAACTTTTTTTCTTCAATATTTTCAAATCAGGCGGCCATCAACAACACCAACACACCAACGTTGCAGTGCCACGGAACCGAAGACCCTGTCATTTTCTACAAATGGGGTTTAATTTTGTCCGAAGCCCTCAAGGAGATGAACCCGAACAAGTACGAATTTAAGGCGTACGAGGGTTTGGGCCACGCCGTCAACGACCAGGTACAAAAAATCGCTAAGCGAACTCGATCGATAATAAACTAAATAACAGTTAATACACTGTTGTTTTTATTATTCTATATCGTTTCGGAGAGGAAATAAAACATTAATTTCGTTTCGTCGATATGGACATCGTAAATAAGATAGTATTCCTTAACGAGTGTCATCGGTGATTTAGTCGTAAATAATATATTGAATGTACGCCTAAATCCATCTTACTTGATGGATTGATCAAACCTCCTCACTAATTCTATCAATGACCTAATAGATACACAACATTTTAATGTTCACAATTAATAATATTACAAAATAGGTAAGCGGAAATCCTAAAACAAACCAAATGTGTTTTCAATTATTTTTTAGTTTTTTAATAACACTTTTTATTTTCAAATGTGATAAACGATATAACCTTTAGGTTTTCATTATTAGGTGATTTATTTTCCTGATACATCTCATTTATTTTCTGCTTTAATCCGGGGTGTTAGAACACACTATAATATTCGTATTGATTCAAACAAATATAATGGTTAAAATTTATTTATTACTTAGTTACACGACAATGATAGATTTCTATACTATAAACACCTCCACCTCTACGGTATTATTTTTAATATACCTTATACATTTTCGTAACACAAGATGGTGAGTGGTGACTGACGAGAGCTCAAATCGTGGTGTGCAAATTTGAACTGAAAATACTAATGATGATTATACCTTTCTCGTTATTTTGTATTTACGCAACATCCTTCACGTCGAATTAGACGTGCATTATAAAATATTATAATATTATAATAATAATATTAACGATAATTAACAATACGCATTTACTCGGGTATACTGGATAATCTTACTGACCCATAACCGCGTTTGCGTAACGCGTTAACAGTTTTATACCAGTTGTACAATTATGTGGCCAACACACAGCTGCATTTCTATTAATTTTTTGTTTATGTCTTTTCAGGAATTACAAGATGTCAAAAATTTTATCAACAAAATATTCCCGTAATCGAATGGATATATTATTAAACAGGAAAATTTATGTAGAATGAATTTATAGTTCAAAAACGTCTGCGTATATTATGCACAATATACATAATTTATATTAGTTGTACATTTTTTACTATACCTATATGCTTAAGAGTATGATTTTTGTGTTCGTACATTATAATATGTTGTGTTATTTTATTATCAATAATGTTAAATTATATTTAACGTGTTTTAGTGAAAAATAAATAAATAAAAATGTAAAAAAAAAACATGTTTTCTTTAATTCTGTAAATACAAATTTCAAAACAATAAATTGTTATCATAGATATAAACAAAAAAATATCCAGTCGGTGACGAAAAAATGAATATAAAAAGCGGGTAAGTGGGTGAAGCTCTGCTGTACAGTAGGTTACGTTTGAAGTGGGCCACATGTAATAGATGTTGTTAAGTTTGAATTCAATGATATTATAATACAATGTATACGAAAAACGATTCTGAGCGGAGATGGTCTGTTAGCCTAGGATATTTTGTATTTTATTTATATTGTTATTATTATAAATGTAATCACTAGTCGGTATGTTGCATTAGTATTATTTGCATATTATCATATTTCTAAAACTCTTTTATACTTTACAAGTTTCAAGTAAAAGTGAATAATATTTTTAAATTACAACAATATAAAATCGTAACGTTCGTAATTTAATATGTAATTTCGTCAAAATCTGAACTTAAAATAAACGAAAAAAGTGTTTATATATTTTTTAGATTTTTTAGTTACATAATGAACCACATACGAGGATCCTTGTTTTAAATCTTTAATCCTTAACCATATTTGTAACTATAAATGTTGCCAAATTTGAACTTTAAATGCTTATAAAAAAAGTGTCTTTGCATTATGATATTTTTTAACTGCAAATGTAACAATAAATCAAAAGCATTTTTTGACATTTTTAAGCATTTTGATTAAATGAAATAAATTTTGCTGACATATTTTATGGAAAAAAAAACTGAAAATAATGAAAATAAAAATCATTTATAAGTAGGTAACTCAAAATAATTTGAAAATTTTATCAAGTATAGAAAATGATAAAATAAATATTTGGTGTAAATTTCAAGTATTTATAGTTATTAGTTTTTGGACTACAGAAAAATAGGAGAATCGTTCCATATGATAAATCAAGTGAATAATATCCAATGTCGTAAAAGTGAACTTCAATAGCTCATAATAAAATTATTATGAATTTGATTTTCCAGTAAGAGTTTGTTCTTTTGATAAGAGTAGACAAACTTATAAAGAATCTTGTATTCAATTTTCAAACATTAGATATAAAAATAAAATTTTTATGAATTTCTAACTTAAAATAATTTGCACATTTTCTTAATTTTAACGAACTTTTTCAAAATTCTAAATTCAAACGCTCGTAAAAAATTATGGTGAGTTTACTCACAACTTTTTTTTTTAATATCCACGAACAACAACTTACAAAAAACCATGTACCTATATTATTTTCAAGTTTATTGTGAACATTTTTTTATCGAAATTAGCTTAAAAACTAATAACGACAGACAATTTCATTTGTTTATAAATAGCTTAGCGTTAGCACGAGTCAGAGTATAATGAAAATGTTAACCTGTACAGAAAATGCGGATAAAACATTCAGTAAAAATTTCATGTATATGCAATATGGTTTTTAGAGTTACATTAAAAACCAAAATCGATTTAAAATTTAAAATTCTCGTTTTCCCAAATTTTTAGTTTGTTTTTTTCTGCCGCTTTTGAAAACTATTGGGAATCTTTCTAGGCCCACTTTCCGACCAGGCAAGAACAGACACAAACGAAAACACTCATCGTTGTAAAATCAAAACATTCATCACTCAACTCAGAATCTGAAAAGAAAAAGAGAAGGTGGTTGCAGATGTTTCGAATAACGCGTATTATGATATTATATATTATTATAATTTTAAAATGTTGTGCAATTTATATTTCATACATCGAAAATAATACACTAATTATTATTCGTTTCGCAGGCTGGCCTAATTGCATTTAACATTATTACACTGTTTATAAAACGTTATAAATCAATAACACATTTTAGGAAAAAAACAACGTTTCAAACGCATTAAAAAAAAAATCAATTTTTTCGTTTTCGAGAGACGCGATTTTTAACGCTGTATATACGAGTAGGTACCTACGTGATAAATCATTATAAATTATTACCGCCTGTGCATATCATTATTAATATTTAATTTAGATAGGTAGGCTATTATGCGTACTATGCACATGGGCGGTGGCCTGCGGACTAATTATAAACATGTTTAGATAAGTTTTTCAATCGTTAAATATCTCACGCTCGACGACTTGTGCAACAATGTAAGTAATCATAATTATAATATTATATACGGCCATAAGCGAGATGATGGTTAGTTGCAATTTTTTTTACCAAATAACCCATCGTCGTTTGCATTGCAGGTGGTTGTTGGGTTTAGCTTTATACGTCGTAGGTATATTACATTATATTATCCTAACGATAGACATCAACTCATTGTAACTGGCGCCGACAAATTCTCAAGATGAGTTAATATTATAATAGTCGCTCAACGTATATGAGGGAAAAACCTCTATAGACGCTTTTGATCTTTGCCGAAAAAATTTGGGTCTTGTCCACCCCCTCCCCCCTCCCCCGTGTTCACACTCAGTACTGTTGGGAGTACGGCGGCCTTACTCATTTCGGGTGACCGAATTTGCTCGCAGTATTATAAGACACATCGTCAGACAACTGTGACCGTTAGACATTGAATCCGCAGACACGAGTTTCAGACTTTCAGTAGTCGTTTTACATTAATATAGACATTATAATATAGTCTTATCGTAATTCGTAGCTGTTTTAAAATCAATCGGAATGCGAAATGAACGTTATATGATAAATCAAGTGAATAATATCCAATGTCGTAAAAGTGAACTTCAATAGCTCATAATAAAATTATTATGAATTTGATTTTCCAGTAAGAGTTTGTTCTTTTGATAAGAGTAGACAAACTTATAAAGAATCTTGTATTCAATTTTCAAACATTAGATATAAAAATAAAATTTTTATGAATTTCTAACTTAAAATAATTTGCACATTTTCTTAATTTTAACGAACTTTTTCAAAATTCTAAATTCAAACGCTCGTAAAAAATTATGGTGAGTTTACTCACAACTTTTTTTTTTAATATCCACGAACAACAACTTACAAAAAACCATGTACCTATATTATTTTCAAGTTTATTGTGAACATTTTTTTATCGAAATTAGCTTAAAAACTAATAACGACAGACAATTTCATTTGTTTATAAATAGCTTAGCGTTAGCACGAGTCAGAGTATAATGAAAATGTTAACCTGTACAGAAAATGCGGATAAAACATTCAGTAAAAATTTCATGTATATGCAATATGGTTTTTAGAGTTACATTAAAAACCAAAATCGATTTAAAATTTAAAATTCTCGTTTTCCCAAATTTTTAGTTTGTTTTTTCTGCCGCTTTTGAAAACTATTGGGAATCTTTCTAGGCCCACTTTTCGACCAGGCGAGAACAGACACAAACGAAAACACTCATCGTTGTAAAATCAAAACATTCATCACTCAACTCAGAATCTGAAAAGAAAAAGAGAAGGTGGTTGCAGATGTTTCGAATAACGCGTATTATGATATTATATATTATTATAATTTTAAAATGTTGTGCAATTTATNAAATCAAATTTTGAACAACTTCATTATTATTTGTCGAAGAAAAAAAAAGGGAGTGAAGATGCTCGGTGAATCACTCTGTATGCATGATAGGTTTATTATATTCTTACAAAACTTGTGTTTATCGTTTATGTACAACTTTTTTATGTTCTTATGTAAGATATTATTATTATTATTATTATTAATTATTATTATAATTATTATTATTATTATTATTGTTATTATTATTATTTTCCGAACGTGCCGGGTCGTTTAATTTCAATCTGCAACCGGGCTGAGTTGTACGACTGTACGAGGTCTGACTCTCAGGTTTTCGGGTATTATTAATTTATTATTGAGGTTCTTTTTAGTATATATTAGCATTGTACCCACGTTGTACTCCGTTACCAAGTACAGGTAATGTATATTCAACCAAAATGTGCTACAGATAATATTATTTATAAATCAAATATAAATCATACATATTTATCAACTACACGATATATTTTTTTTTTTATTATTATTATTTTTAAGCTTCGGCAACTGAGACCATTAGCTGTAGGTTGTGGTACTGGTAGGATTTTGGGACTGTAGTATTACGGAACACGTGTGTGTTTGTTTGGCAGAATTTCTAGTGGGCACCCGTAGGTTTCTGCCATGCCCGGTTGGGGGATGGCAGCCCCTCTCTCCAGACACCGGACTGCCCGGAGAGAAGTGCCCCCCGTGACCGGGGTTCGAACAGACGACGGTGCGCGTTGCAACCGACGCGTTATCCGCTCAGCCACTTCGTCCCCCTACACGATATTGTAGTTGTACTAATGCCACAATAGTCAATAATGCGATTTCAGCATTAGGTATTTAGGTATTCCGTATTCGGTAAGAGTGTTGAAATAATTTATTAGAAATAAAGCATCTGCAAAATTAAGTTTCTAAAAACGTAAGTGTACCTAAACATTTTATTGATGAATCTTTCATTAAAAAAAAAAACCATTATCTTTCAATTTTCCGACGTCCTAATTTTGGCTATACACTCTTCATATAGCAATGGTATTCAAAAACTCAGACTCAGAGCTTAGAAAAAATTCAAAATAATTGTATTTGATTTTTAAGTCAACAATGTTTCGTCTATATAATTCAAAGTTCAGGATACGATATAGAGACAGATAATTTTGGTAAACTAAAACAAATAATATGGTTGATCGCCCAGCAGAAATTCTCTAGTTTCCAGAACACACATTTTTATATCAATTCAAAAACTTATGAGACTTATTTTATATAAAAAACGAAAGTATATACCAGGTCATTTTATATTTATTTATAAACATAATATAATATCGTGTCCAATTTGTGAAATCGATCTTTTCGTGAAATGACTTTTTCACACTTCGAGGAACACAAAAATACTTCACAAAATAG